AGTGCCAGACTTTGAGTCTATAAATTGCTGGCCTGGGATGTTAGATGCCTTTTAATATTTTCAAACATCCAGTCGAGTAATGAAAGGACTGTAGGGCTGCCCTGATGTAAGACCTCAGGAGAGTTGCTTTCAGAGATCATGGGAGCTCAGAAGTTGTTTAAGAACATGAAGTCCTATCCAAGTAATAGCTGGAAATAAGTTGCTTGATTTTTCTATCCCTAAAGACAAATTCTTGTAATAGCAAAAGTGTAAAATCCAACAAAGAGGGGCTTGATACTTTCAGTTGCTACAGCCACTTCATAGTAGGGAAAAAAAAAAAAAAAAGGGCAGACTGACAGTGAAACTATTTGGGGTAAATAATGAGGACAGACTTCTCAGAAATAAACTGGCATGGATTTGGCCATGAGATGTCAAATTCATAACTTGGGAAATGAAAGCCTCTATATACTAGAGAGCAGGCCCTAGCCCAGCAGTGGCAATTCAGCCTTCTGAGCCACAGGGATTTCTTTATAAGCAGTGGTATATTAAATGTGGGATCGGGCAGGCCAAAGGGACAGCAGTAAAACAGAGACAACGTGCAGCGACCAAAAATGAGCTAAAGCCAGACACTAATTACTTCACAGTAATTTGGTTTTCCTGTAGAGTTGACTAATATTGCTTGCTCCTGGAGAGTAAATGCTTTCCCTATCAGTTGGGTTTTAGACCTAGTAAGTTCTTTTTTTCGTTTAAGTGAAAGTGGGGAGAAAGCAGTTTTTGTTTATTTATCTGATTTTGCGCCTTTTTCCACGTGAAGATGAGGGGTGGATTGTTACACTGTGCACATAGATGGAGTGGGCTGAGGAGGAGACAGGCCTAGGTCAACAAAACAGATTCATCCATCACATCTGCCAGAGTGGAAAGATAGTTGTCTGGATGCTCGGTCAACCCGAGACCTTTCTGCTGAGTCAACTGACAAGATTGCAGATACTTGTGACAACGAGGACACTTATCCACCAGTAAGTGGACTGAAGACCACCAACACGTTTTTGGCGGTGGGTCTTCAGCTTGGGAAGCTCTGAACTCTTGAACACAGCCTTCCCTTCCTTATCTCCGAGAATCGTTGCCAAAAACTAAGATGGAATAAGATAAAAGAACAAAAGGAAGGGATTCCGAGGTGCTAATGGTGGAAGGTGTGAGAGTCAGTAGAAAGTACAGTAAAGAAACCCATGACAAGTCATGATAAATGGGTCGTTATAAAATTCATGTTTAGGCTGCACCAGTCTGGGGATAATGCCATTCGTCATGGCAACACTGGGGCACTAATGAGCCCTCATTGCATATTCATGGTTTTGGCGCCTCTCTCCTCTCTCTGCCTCCCTCCCACCCCGAACCAATGCCTGGTAAATATCTCCACCTCAAGCTGAAACTCGACTTAGGCTGCTTTTTTTTTTTTTTTTATTTGTTATGTTGCAGCAATTACACTGTAAAAGTGCTGCACAAGATTGATTGCTCTGATCTGTAGTTCAATTGTAAATTAGAATACACATCCCCCTGGGGACACACGGCCCCTATTTGTGATTAAGAAAAAAGCCCCATAATAGACTAATAGCTAAAGTTCTCTCTCTTTTACTTTCAGGCAATTAGCTTGATGAAATGGCCTCTTTTTGTGTACCCTGGAAGTGTAAACCGATATCATAATGAAGTATATGATGTTTATTCTATTATTTTCACCTTGCCATGTATGCAGGAATGCATAAATAATGGCTGCTTTGTCTAGTACATTTACTGATTCAGAAGTAAACTCTGTCTTAAAGATGCAGCCTGTGATCCCATAGCCTTCTGGACACTGTGACTGGTCCCCATAAAACTCACATTCTGCCCAAAGAAGTTGGGAGACGATTTTTGGCCAGGTGATTAAATGCTGTTTGCCAGACACTTTCATTTATGATGAACCTTAATTGGCAAATCCTCCTAATAACCTTGTGGAAAACAAGGTATGCCCATTTTACGGAAAGGAAAACTGAGGGGCAGATGCTGAGCGCGTTACACAAGCCCACACAGGACCTTAATAAGTACTTAAGAAATCCTACCTCCTGGAAGGTTTTTTCAGGCAATCAGAGGCTCCCTTTCCTCCCTCTTGTGAAGTTATTAATGCTGTCATGGATGGGTCATGGAGTGGCTCTGACCTTACTCTTCCACACCGGCACATGACTCCGTGGTGTCACGGTCACCTTCATTTCCATGTGACACAGAGAGCTAAAGTTCTTTCACCTGAATCCAAGGTGGATGTGGTCATGCCCATTCTCAATGTTGTGTGCTGGATGTTGGCTTTCCCAAGGCTCAATTTGAGCTGTCAGTCTGAGCCAAAGGAGTGGTGTTGTGCAACAGCGTTAGAACGCGGGGATGGTGTTCGTGCAGTCGAGCTCCAGATAAATATCTGGGAAGAAAACTGCCATGTGATGATAGCTCTGGGCATATCTGCCTGCTGAGGAAAGGTGCTCCTGCATTAGCCTTTCACTTTGGCCCAGGAGTGCACTTTTGAAGAGAATCCCCCAAATATAACCCTGCTTACCCCATCCCACAAGGCCAGGCAGCCTTGGAGCACGCAAACGGAATTCTTTAGTGGGGAATTAAAGCAGGTGATGCTAGCAGCAGCTAACAGGAATTCTGTCCACAGGAACATGCTAGAGTTAGCCTGAGTAAACCTCCACCTGGGCCAGTCCCTGCTCCTCAGAGCAGGGTGCAGACAGAGCTTTCTTTGCCCATTTGCAGGGCTCCTATCCAAGGAGTTATGACAAACTTGGGTAGTGTGGTAGGGAGGACATGTGAAATGGCCTGAAAATCCTGCCTGAGGAAATGCACTGCTTTATGTACACCCCCATCAGTTTGTCTGCAGTAGAAATGTCTCCATTTAGTTTAAATTCTGTGTGAGAGGGGTTCTGTAGGGGAATAAAACAGAGCTTGGAAACATTTTGCTAAGAAGCACTACCAGTGCAAACCTTCAAAGGGTAACTCTGTACATGGCTACAAAACCATATTCTGTTTAAACTTGTTCATCATTGTCTTCTTGCATGACAGCCCTGGCATTTAAAATATGTTAGGGGTGACACAATACTTTCACCTGGTGCAGACATATATCACTGGAAGGATGTTCTCATAAACAAAGTGCTGCAGGCTATGATCTTATCATTCTCCTCTTCCTTCTTCTCAGCTCAGTTCAATGACAAACACGTATTTCTCTTCTTTGCTCCAGTTTCTGCTCTACGGGAGCCTGGTGCTGGAGCAACAGGTGATGTTGCAAATCAGGAATGACAAGCGTTGGTGGTGGCCTGGTGAGGGGAAAGCATCAGAGGGGGCAAAAAACAAATGGAACAAATTTCATCCCAATCCAGCAGTTTCATGGCACGGGAAGAAGTGCACTCGCGTGCGTGCCTGCACACGCGTGAGCTTTTTTGAGGAAGACAAAGCAAATTAGAGTGTTCATGTGTAATTAGCTGACTATTAGTGTGGTTCAGCCAAGGCAATAGGCAGACAGTTAACTCGAAGATAGCTCGCAGATAAAAGGGCTGGGAAGGGTGTTCTGGGGAAAGCTGGAGGTAATAGTTCAGAAGATAAAATCCTGACAAATTGAGCAGGCATCTCAGAAGTTCTTTCCCCACACCATTAGCACAGTGAAGCTACACAGGCCTTCCCTCTCTGCCCTACAAGGCTTAACCCTTCATGGCATCTGGGGCTCATTACCCTTGGATAGCTCACTTCTGAATTATTTAATTATCATTTCCTGTTTAAACACATTCGTTTGAAATAAAACTGTGAAATTTCCTGCCCTCCTTCTTGTGCTAGCATATGAAACAGAGATTATTACCCCTGTAGAGGCTGGAATACCTCCAGCTCTTTATCTGAGAGGGTGTGTGACCAGGTCTAGTAAAAACATTATCATTAAGCATCACACCTGGGGAGAAAACCAAAAGTGTGTCCAAGTCTTTGCAACTTTTGTGAAAATGTGGGTGTTTTAGCAAATCTCTGTGCTAAATGAAAATGTCATTATAATTTTCACTCATTTTATAGCTGACAGGGAAGTGCTTTCTTCTGTCCCTTGGGAGTTTTCAGGATTTCATGTTTTTTCAGCTAATTCTGTGGCTAACCAATAAGCTGCTAAAAAGTGAAAAATCTAACTGAGCCATTTGCTTTAGTAGTTTCAAAATATTTCATTTTTTTTACTTTCACTTGTAAATTAAAAATTAAAATCAAAATATATTTGAAAGCAAATATACGTTCACTTAGAATAATATTATTGGGACACTTGCAATGATTTTTAAAAGTCTTTAACATCTTTTTTTTTTCAGCAGAGAAGCCTCATGAAAACTGCATTTTTCAATCCAAACCTTTTTGCTTGTTTGACATTTTCCAGGACAAAGTTCTCATGGAAACCCTAGCCACAATCCACTTTTATCATTATTTCAGTATATCAGGGCGTTCTTTTTTGGGATGACTTCTGGGAAAGAATAATTGAGAACTTCATGCTGACTTGATCCAGCAGCGAAATTCTCAAATACTGCTGAAATTATCCATATTTCTGAGTATCCATTCATGAAAAACTTACATTTCTCTAAGGTCTATATGCCTATGGCCCCTTCCATTTCTCTCAAACAGGATTGATTAAAAGTTCATTTGTTGAAGTGAAAGTTTATCATGGGTTTTGCACAACCTTTGCACCGTTTCTCTATCAGTGTGTAAACTCTGTAGCAGGACTGTTAGAACTTTTTCCTGCAAGGAAAATGCACTCAGGGTATTTCAGATGAGATGCTCTTTTCTGTGATGCCAGACACAGAATTCACCAAACAGACAGGAAAACCTGCATTGTCGGGGTGGGTAAAGCCATATTCACTGCAGAACATGTTATTTTTTGCAGGAAAAAAAAATCACTTCTCAAGGTACAGTTAGCAATTTTTGCTTCATATCTATTCTTTAACCCCCAAAAGAAAATTCCCACTGCTGCTTTTAATGCTTGTTTGTCCAAGCCTTGTGCAGGCATTTGTCACAAGCCAAATTTGGAGCAAATTCTCTGCAGAAGAAACGAGGAATGAAGAGTGGGCAAGACTGTGTTGGTGTTTCTGTTCATCTTGAAGGAGGGAACCTTCTGCTGCAGCTCTCAAGTGATGCTCGAGGGGAAGAACAGCACGTACAAGGAGGAGAGCCAAGTGCCTGCCACTAGAGAGAAGCCCTGGGGACAGCACCAAGGTAAGGGCCCTCACCAGCCACTCAGAAAATGCTTTCCTTGTGACTTTTGCTGCCCCACTCACCTTCCTCCCATGTCCTGTCATTTCCCTCATCCCATTTTGCACAATGACAGGAAAACCTGAGGTTTTACACAGGTTTCTGCAGGGAGGAGCAAGTTTCAAGCTGCTTACCTTGCCTAAAAAGAGGAGTAGGGTTACACCAGAGGTCCTGCAAGCCCCTCACCAACTCCTCTGAGCTTAGGGGTGCTCAGCCTGGAGAAAAGGAGGCTCATGGGGGACCTTATCACTCCTACAGCTCCCTGATAGGAGGTGCAGCCAGGTGTGGGCTGGTCTCTTCCCCCAGGTGACAAGCCACAGGACAAGAGGAAGAAACTCAAGTTGCACCAGGGGAGGTTTATGTTGGATATTAGGGAAAATTTCATCACTGAGAGGGTGCTCAAGCACTGGAACAAGTTGTCCAAAGAAGAAGTGCACTCACTATACCTGAAGGTCCTCAAAAAATGTGTGGATACGGTGCTCAGGAACATGGTTTAGTGCTAGACCTGGCAGTGTTGGGTTAATGGTTGAACTGATGATCTCAGAGGTCTTTTCCCACCTTAATGATTCCATGATTCCATCGCCCCTGTGATTCTATGGTCCCACCTTAATGATTCCATGATTCTATGGCCCCTGTGGCAGAAACTCCCAGCAGATTGTACAGAAAAATGTCAGAAGTCAAACTAATTCTTCTCATGAGGTATTTTCCTTGTTCCTATCACGCAGTGCATTAGAGACTGGCAATAGAAGTTGCATAAAACAAGAATGTTTAATCGTATTTTAAGTTGATTATATTTTTGGTATTCTTTTGGCAGAAAGTCCTGCAATTTAATTAACTAATTGTGCTGCATGACAAAATTTTATTCACTTTAAACCTCTTTTGCTCCTTGTATTAACATAGTCTATAAATATTCCCCTCCTAAGAACATTCTCCATAACATTTGCCACGGCATAAACTTCAGCCCCCTCCTCCCAAAGAGTTCTAAATTTATCTGGTTTATCCTGGCATGGAAGCAGATACATACAATTACTGACAAGACAACCACTATCAAACCCAACTGTTGTTACCCAGACTGAAATTCTTCCAAAAATTAATTATTTAAAATAATCCAAACGGTGCAAATATCCAAAGATCAGACAGATCCATAAAACTTGCCTGTAGCAAAATCATGCAATTAGAATCATGCTCATAAGTGTTGCAGTCTTAAAACATTAATGGAAGGAGTTATTAAAATTGTATTTGATTTGCATTATTACAACACTGAATGCACTATGGAAAACTGAGTCCATGAGAGAGGTGCGGCACAAGCCAGAGTCTTATTATCTGAGTTGGAACTTTAAAATAGACTCTGCTTTACAGTTCTGCCTGAATTTTCTTTAGTTTTATTGCTCTTGTAAATTGATAAGGATTCCTGGTTTTATATTAGAAATAGAAAATGAGGAGGAGGATAAGAAAATAGTTGTAGATAAAGACTCAGAAAAGCAATTTGAGAAAAAAACAATCCTTCCCAAAGTAAGTAATTTTTATCAGAAATAAGATGTGTTGTTGTGATCATAAGTGCCATCAGAAGCCCCAAGAATTGCAGGGTTTCTGTAGACAACCTAGGGAAAAGTTTCCCCAAATGTGGAAGCAATTATAAAGAAATTCATGACTCACAGTAAGAATTCCTGGTTTTATTTCCATTACAAATAGACTGCAATTTGTGCATCTCTGTCTGACATCTTTTTATTGGGCACTTACCCTTCCTGACATGTTTATAAAATTACCTGCTTCATTAGTGGGACATCACCAGCAAATATTGCCACAAATCACCACAAATATCACCACAAATATTGCCTTTGATCCAGCAGGAAAGAGAGTTTGCTGAAGTCAATGGAATAATTTCAATCAATTCCAACAGAATTAGAGATAAACCTGTGAGGGTTAAAAAAGATATATATATAACCACTATTACGAAGTGTAAGAAGGAATACAGGGAATTTTCTTTGCAACTGAGATATTTTTAGGTTTTTTATTCTTTAGAATCCCTGTACAGGCACGTCCCTCATGCACAGTTGTCAAAAATAGTGTTTAGGCATTTAGACTCAAGTTGATTTAATCCAGTACAGAAGTGTGCTCTAAATTTTTCAGGGCAGTGAAAATGTGTGGAAATGGTATCTTCATGCTCAAAAGCTCCATTTCATTTAGAAGAACAGTGCCAATAAATTAAATAAATGAGATTATTTCTATTAAAAATAGAAATAGTGTCTTGTAGAAAAAATACTCCTTCTTCTGAACTTAAACTATGCTTTAAAATTCAGTATTCAGATCCTTAGCAGGTGTAAATCATCACAGAAATTATGCTGTTACACTTTACATGATATTACCAAATTGTCTTGCTGGTAATTAAGAATATCCTCTATGGAATAAGGACCAATGACAGGAGAAAGTATAAGTTGATACTGTCTCAGCACGCCTAAGTGGTAGACAGAAATATTCATGTGCATAATCTTGCACCTTCCCTACATGATACCCAGTGGGCTGAAGTAATAGTGTACAGAATTATCTTGGAAAAGGCAATTCTCAACAGAAACTAAAGAATCTTATGAGTTGTCTGTGTTTCTCATAATTATACATGGCAAAAATTAAGATAAAACTAACAGGCATGATGTTGGAAAATGTTTCTTTAAAAATGTTTCTTTAAACTTTCAGCATATTATACTCAAGTGTTTTCCAAGCTCAAATTTTCTGTATTTCATTCCAAGAAAATCAGTATCCCTTTCTCCATTTCTTTTCATGGGTCTATCATGTCTGTAATGTACAGCACAGGGAAACCAATGTAATTTCTATTAAGACCAAAAAATATTCTGTATAGATTACTTGTGGGCATCCTTATGGCAGATACTGAGGGATATTCTAGATTCTATCAGGAATCAGGAAAGAATTAGGCATATATGTATATATAGGAGGAGTTTTTGATCTCACATAAAATGTAGAAAGCATAAAATACTGTGTATTAGATGTCCCCTGAGCAAGAACTATTATCTCAGCATCAACTGCAAACACATTACCATTGGAAGGCTTATTCCAAGGTATGAAAAAAATCCACTAACAGCAGGAAATAGAAACGTTTGAAAGCTCCTCTGGAAGCCCTCATATCCAAAGCAGGATGGCTCTGTGCAAGGCAGGCTCCAGCAGCACGGGCCCTCCAGGAGCTCTGATCAGGCACTTCCCTCATCTTCATGTCTGCACACTCCAAGCTGAATATCAGCACCTTTCTGAAGCTGTTTAATGTGTGAGGCTCTGTTTTAACCTCTTGGTATCCTGTCTGTATGTGGAATGCAGAGGTGTGTGCTTTTTTCCTTATTAATATAGAATAATAAAATAACGTCACCTGTTGTAATGCAGGGAGAATTTTGTACAGAGGGAAAATTCTGTGTCCTGCCTACTAAATGACAGGCAGCTCCTTCTGTGCATGTGATCACATCCCACTTAGTGCACGCTGGAGCTTTTCAAACCTCCAGAGTTTTGTGTTTAGCAAAGCAGATGTGCAAATGGAGATCGGGGTGACCTCCCCTCTGAGAAGCAGGCCTTTGACACACATTACTCCCCTGCTGACAGCACCACAAGTGTGGATCAGTTGGCATTTCACACCTGCAACTAATGCAGAAGTTGTAACAAATATGAGTGAGCATTAGGGAGAGAAGGGATCCTTTGGACATAAACCAGCTATATTTAACAGGAAAGGTGCAAATCCGCATTATGACTCAGGATATGTATTAGCTGCAGCCCTTCCATAACCTAGAAAGAAAGAATTATATCCAAGGGAACTTACCTCAAAGAGTTTCTCTTTCCTCAGGCAGAAGTGATGATTAGGCTAAAACTGGCCATTTGTTTTATCTGTGGGTCGGGAATAGACAATTTAGTCCTTGCAGCTTCAGCTGTCTTGGCTCAAGATCCTGACCTACAATAAATACCTCTCCAATCAATAGAGCACTGAACTTGGAGCACAGCCAAGGACCTTTCCTGGCAACTTTGGCCTGGACTGAGCTGACCTGGTAAATCTGCAGTGCTAGGGGAGAGATCTCACTGAGGATCCTGAGTTCTCCAAGTCCTCCAAGCCTTGGGAATTCTGTGCCTCCAGTTAGGCTGCTGGGGACAGGAATTACAGCAGCTTTTCACATGCTGTTTTCTTGTTGGTGACAGATGCTCTGCACTGCTCCTTGGGCTGTTTGGGCTGTCCTAATGCTGCAGCACATATCCTGCAACACTCATCACTGCTCACGGCTCTCTTCACTGAAGCAGGTCTATCAGCTGCAGAGCATTTGGGGTAGGATGTATTTGCTCCCCCATTCAGGAGCAGCAAATCCTGTTGAGTGGATAGAAAGGTACCACCATCCTTAGTCCCAGCATGGTCTGGGAGCTCATCTCTGGATGAGTTCTGCAGGTTTCTTTGCCAGTGTCTAAAGGTGGCTGCCCCGATCCCACCCTACATTTCTCCCTTCTACCTTTCTTCCTGCCTGAGAAATGTCACAGCCATGAATGAGCAGCTTCAGCTCCTCCTGCCAGGCTGGGAAGGGGCCACAGCAGCACATCTCTCTTTGAAAAATCAGGGTGCAACCCCCACCAAAAGGGGCCCCTGAGCAGTTACGTGACATTTCCTTGGGAAAGGAAACCGGTTTGTCACCTCTTGCTTAACGTGTCACCTCAAGGCAGAGCTGAGGAGCACCCACGGGCACCAGAGATAAGGTTGCATTAGTAACACTCTATCCATCTTGTTCTGAAGATCATGGAAGCACAGGAAAGCTTGGGTTGAAAAAGACCTCCAAGATCACCTAGTTCCAAGACATTCTGTTTTCCAGCCTCAAATGTGACATAACATTAAAAATGTGGTGAGAGTCTCACTTACATAAATGTTAATTTATAGATTGTCCTACCAAAGAAAGTAAAGCATCTCTCTCAACTCATCTTCCTGATTTCTCTTAGAAGATAGAACAGCTCCAAAGTAGATGAGAGCTGTCACCATCCATGACCCTTGGGCTGAGAACTGTAAGAAAACATAGAAAAGGTGTTCTTAATGCAGAATGACATAAACTACAGATGAAGTATGTGTGAATACTTTTGTGTAAGGTGACTGTATGAATGTACTCTGCAAAATGCATTTTGGGTGGCGTTGAGAACAGTAGTGCACACAATTCAAAGTTACCAGGAATATTAAAACAGGTGGGAAAGGCACAGAATAGACAAAGGAAATTGTAGATAAAGGCAGGAAAAAGGGAAAGATGATAGATGTGGAGACAGCTAAGAGGATGACAGGTGAGACAGGCAGGATGAGGTAGGACAAACCCAAATGGTTCATTAGATGGAAAAATGTCTCTCTGGCATTGTACTTTTAGTTTGTTTTTCCACAGTGGTGTTACAGTTCTTTTCCTACTGCTACTACAAATGCAGCACTGAAGTTCTCCTGATTAGTTTTTCCCCCCTGTGTAAGATGTCCTTTATGCTGTGATGAGATCATTTGTGTATTAGTTCATTTTAATCTTTTCAGAAGGAATCCAGGAACTGCGGTGAGGTCATGACTGCAGTAATGTCTAAAAGGATGGTTTTATAGAGGAGGGGAGGAATATTCCTCTCATTTAGCAAAACTCTAACAGAATTTGTGGCTCTCAAGTGTGTTGGACAAGTTAAGGTTTGGGTTTTTTTCTGTTGCGTGTGTTTGCAAAGGACAGGCTGCTTCATACTCTTGTTTTTCCCTAAGGATTGCATAAATCTAATAAATTTTGCAGACAAAGTACCCTGTTAGAACTTCACCTGAATAATCCTCTAGCATCATCCCGAGCCATGGCACCTCCCAGTTTTACAGTCAAGAGAGTGGTAAATAAACTCAGACTCCTTTGGTAGCCTGAGTGTCCTCACATCAGACCTTCTTTACCATTGAGAAGGCAGATGCCTCACTGAGAGCATCCTTGTTCCCATCCCAAGGAGAAAAATCCTTGGGGCATGCCCCAGGGCCATGGTATCACTCTTTAATATGACATATTTGTGCCTCATGGGTCAACGGAGCAATGTCAGGCATGAACTTGGACTGTGACATTTCAGGCAATGACCCAAAAATAAAAGCGTCAAAATTTCACTGTTAGTCTGATTTTCACCTCCAGTCTTTTCCACTCTCTGTGGATGTGACAAGACTTAATGATATAATTCAGAAAGGTCTCTGGATGGATTTAGTACTGGAAGGAGACAGATGGAATCAAGTGCCTTGCTTTGCCATGGCCAATGTATTATATTTTAATGTGTTCTAATGAACTTTAAAATTATTCCCCAGCATGCATTGGTCAGAGGGGTTCTTATGAGTGTGCCATCTTCCTGGATCCCTGAGATCATTCCCTCTGGATCTGTTGGATCAACAGCGGAGTGGTGATAACAAATACAGTGCTGCTTTAACTGTGCTTTCCCCCTCTTTGCTAAATGGATTTGTGCATACCAAGAGTTACACTGCTCCTCTTTTAGCAACTTCAGGGCATCAGTCATGTGCTCAAAACCAGTTCCCCTCTCATATCTAGAGACCAAATGTCTTGGATGATCCATGGGATGCAGAAGACGCCACAGGCTTAGTTTTGCTCCAGGGGTTTGAGAGATTTAGTTACCCAGAGAGGAGTGGGAGATTAATGGTGCTCGTTGATGGTGACAGGGACCTGTGTGCTCGAAATCCCATCACAGGCAGAGAAGAACCCACCTCTACACACTCCTAATATGCATAACTATGGAAAGCCTTTTAAATAAAAAAGACTAATTAATAATGCCTAGTGGTCTAGGTGTCTAAGTATGAATTGTCAGGGATTTCTGCAGGCTCAGGGAGGTGGGGAAATGGGTTAACATTGCATTGTTTCAAATTACAGGGTTTTAGATTGTTTCAAACGAGAAGCAGAGAGGGTTTCCACACCAGATTTGAGACTTTTATTCTCTTTTATTTGTACTCAAATTTTGGCTTCAGCTCACATTGTCATTCTGCCCAGGCTGCTTCCCAGACCAGCTAATTTGTCTACCTGTGTTCCATTTTAGGCCTTGGTTTTAATTTGAGGATGATTCCTGCTAATACCAAAGACTGGATAGGACATCCATTAAAAGTCTACACAGCAATTGAAATGGAAAATTCCAAAAGAAACCCTATTAGAGTTTTTCTCCATCAAATCAACATTACAGACTTCTTATGCATTTCTTAATTAGACATTGATATTAACTGGACTGTTGCATGATTTAAATCTAGCTCTTAATCTCAGCTATTCTATGCTGCTGTAGTTTTTATGACATCCAACCAGCGACTGCTTTATGCATTAATCTATCTGGAAAACCACCTTCACAATTTTTTTTGTCTTTTTTTAGAAGAATAAAGGCCCCAAGAAGGAAATGAAAGCTTTTGGGTTCAGCCATTAGTAATTTTCTGCTTAGTATTTGAAAAATTGCTTATTTTAATTGCTTCATAGAAGAAAAAGATATCAAAGCTAACGTTCTTTCTCTCCAAACTTTGTAATTATTTCTCTCAGACTCTTATTTGAAATGCCTTGAAAGGATTTTCATTGAAATGTAGATTTCTTCTCTTTCAAAAGTACTTTTATTCCCCTGTGCTTCTTTCCCTTTTTTTTTTTCCTATTGACTTCCTCTCTAGATTTAGAGCAAAAACATAGTCTCCAATGTCTGGACACTGCAGCATGTGTCACACAGATGTCCCCAAAGTGACATCTTCTTTAAACCTAACCTTCCCATGGCCTATAGACTGTGCTGACAATTTGCCTTAGGTCTTAGTCTGGTACCCTTGGGCTTCCTCCAGGGATGGCAAAGAAAAGTTATAGGTATTATAGGGGCTTGCTTTATCTACTCATGCTGAAAAGTATTGTGTGATTTGCTAATTAATATCACCACCAAAATTAGTAATCTAATTCTGTAAAAATGTATGAGGGTATCAGTGAGCTGAAGCCAAGGCAGAGGTAAGCCTTGTATAGTTTTGGGTTCTGTTTCCAGCAGTGTAAGCCCTGAATATCCTAATCCAGAGGGGAATTTACTAACCAAACCCTGTAGTTAATTCTGCATTGTATTTAAATGTCAGTAGCACAAAGCCTGAGGATCATGCTGGCCTCCACAGTAATCCTTGATACCAATACAGCAATAGCAGCAAGAAGTTCTTTATTTCACCTATACCTTTTCAGAGAGCATTATTTACTAATAGATTATGATCTGGTCAAAGTGATCTATACATTCATTACATCTGGAGTGGGCTTTCATAACTCACAGGACCTAAGAATGAGGCAAAACTCACACTTGTTTATGGTGCTGCAGTTCTGCTCAGCAAGAAAAGGCGCAGAGAAAACACTGTCCTAAGCACTTGTGGTCTGCTCTGGGTCCCAGGTGATTTCTCATGCCAGCTCACAAATATCTTTAAGAGCCTCAGAAGAGTGGGGACGTGGCTGCCCCAGAGCCACCTCAAAATGCAGCTTTGCAAACCAGTCACCCCACAAGCCTCGTGCAGCCATGGCTGAGGTTATCTCCCAGGGGAAATCTTCCCAGTGGAACAAAACATTTTGAGAATAGAAGATGGAAATGAAGCTAAAGCATTCTCAATATCAGATTTTGCACACATTTTTTTTTGCAATAACACAGAAGGAAGAAAGAGAATAGGAAAATGAGTTAGAGGGAGATGGAGAGAGAGATGGTCTATTAAGCAAAGCTACTTTTTTTACTCTCTGAATTTACAGTCCTGATAGACATCTCTTTTCAAAATTACTCATTTTTTATATTCAGATACTACAGCTTTCAGTACTAGGTCCTAGATTTGTCTGGACAGATTACCCTCTTATTTCCACAATGAAACTTAATTATCCTTTTTATGTCTTCAGATACTTCCAGTTATTTCCTGAACTGTTTCTGGGGACAGAGAGCAGCTGATGGGTCAGTCAGTAAAGTAAATACTGTGCATCCCTACTGTTTTTAAGGCAAAAGCCCTTTGGCCCCAGGTCTTTTTAGAATATTTTGAGGGCTAGCCCATATAATTTGCTCAGATCTACTTTTCTGAGCTTTTTTTCTTTTTGTGACTAGGCAGGGACTCATCATTTTCTCACCACCTTTCTGTGTATTACTTGGAAGCATCTAAATGTGACTAACTCACCTGGAATCCGTAGAGGGATATTTGAATGCGTCATCCCTGAGACAAGAATAACTCCTCCTGAAATCCAGGGTGGAATTGACTGCGTGGCTTCAAACACCCCTTCCTGTACCCCTGCTGTTGCAGCAAGAAGGAATGCATCCGAGTGCTCAGAGCCCAAATGAATAAATAAACTGGTTCAAAGCAATGGCAGGAGCACACAGGGGTGTGGAAGTTGCTGGTATTGAGTAGTTTCTGGATTTTAGGACACTCCAGGTTTCATCTGTAAAGAAACTTATAACACATAATCCACTGTCACTGCATTCTGTCTGAGCAGAATTAACACAGAGCAGTCAACATGAAAATATCACCTAAAATAACCCAGGACCTGCAAATACTGAACATAAAATTATAATGAGTATCCATTCAGACTTTGAGAGTTATTTTTTAGCTTTTTTCTTTATTTTTAAAGTCTCCGTTGTTCAAATTAGAAAATAAAGAAGTGTTACAGCTAATTAAAATATAAATTGGCTACAGAAAATCACCCAAAACATCAGGAAGTAGAGAGAGAGCACAACTGGGCATGTGTTATAGAATCCTTTATGAATTAAATGCTAAATTCTAAAGGGCTGACCTGGCAAAATAATATTCATGTAAATAGAGCAAGTGTTGCTGTGGTACCCAGGTATATTTTACTGGGTTGAACAAGTGGTGGTCAAATGCAGTTTAGCTAGGCTGGGATGAACAACAGACTTTGTATGGACTTTACATATTGTAGACACCCCGAATTAAACAAAATTTCTCTTACCCTGGCACAGTATTCACACTGCAGTCACATCTCTGCATGGAAGTTTCTTCTTCCAAGTCCAACTTGTGACCCCAGCCTGAAAGCAGGAACCAGCATGGTTCAGTATCACTGAGTCTGTCATACCAAAACCAGAAATTAAGATGTCACTGAGGTATAAAACACAAGTTTCTCTGTCACACCCAACCTACATTTTCTCCAGATGAGCTCATCATACTCAGTTTCCACTATCCTCAGAGAACAGATAATCTGTTTCCTATAAATACAATAAAGAGTGCTTCAAATGACATGACATTTTTTCAATTCATCATTTCGGTGATTCAAAATAAGTGTGAAGGGAAAAGATGCTGAAAGCAACAAGCAGCAGGAGCCCAGGACTGAGGAGCTCAGGAGGCTGAGTCCCCATTTTTGCTGGATTTTGATGGATTCTCCCATCTCAGACCTGTCACCTGAACCTTCAGCCTGGGTGCATTTACCTCCACAGGGTCCTGCAGCCCTGTGAGCTGCACAATGATCTGGTCCTGATCTCATCTCTGCCCTCACTCCTTGCAACTGGAAAAACAGTGATAAAAATATAATAATAAGCTCAGAATAATTATGTATTGTCTTTTTAGTGAAACAGGCCTTGAGCACTGAGAGCTCTCCACTGGGAGAAGTCCCATTTAAAAAATCTCCCTGGCATAAAAATGAATCGGATCCTGTTACATGAATGGCCTGTGTTTACTATTCTTTTCACTTACCTTCTAGTCGTTCATTTTCTGAGCTGACTTGTGCCTCTTCCTCTGTTGTCAGCAGGAATTGGGTAACAAGAACTTGCTGGAAATGGAGTGGTAAACAAATAAACAAACACAGAGAAGGACCTGCTGACTTGGCAGATGCACTATTACAACTATGATGTAAAACTATCAAACAACAAATGCAACTTCTGAATGTCTCATGACTCACATCACAAACAGAGAGGGGGGAAACTGAAAAGGGATTTTAATCAGTGATAATGAATTTGGAACAACACTGGATTTTCAGATCATAGGAAAATCAGGACAAGTCTGGGTTGAATTCTTGGTCTGAATCAAATATTCTTCTTCCTGTAGCCATCAATCACCACATCCATTATCTGTAAAAAAGGCATCACTTGGACTACCCCAATGACCACTCTACTATAACCAAGAAAATCAGTCAGCATCTTTGCTCTAGGGTAAGGAAAATATTTGGGCACTTCAGGAGTACTCATTTCTCCCCCCAAGAGCCCAAAACCTTTAAGTGTGTTACCAGGGCTCCTTGCTTCATCTGTTTCAATTTTGAAGCTCTTGGAAAAGGTAACAGTTCACAACCACTGCAATGGTCTTGCCCCAGGGAGATGGACAGAGCAGCAGGGCAGAGGCAGAAAAACCACAAGGAACCTAACGGATGTTTTCTTGGGAAAAAGGGGAGATTAATTAAAGGGGAAAATCTGCTGGTCATTAAGTGTCCTGGAGCAACTATTGTGACACTGAAGCAGTGAGTTTCTGTGTGGCTTTAAGACATCTGCCCTGAGGAAACATTTGCAATTGAAACTGTGTCCTCTTTTTCCCGAGTCTCGGATTCCCATGGGCCAGCAGTTGCCTTGCTAAATGAAATGCTTCTTTAGGGAGACTGGCTGGCCCCAGGGATTGGTAATGCAATATAGAGCCTTTCATCTCTCACCCATGAACCCAAGTCAAACAGAGTTTGGTAAATGGCCAATAACCCCTACTATTCCAGGGCTGTTTGGTGACCTGTGCGAAATGAGGAGGGTCATCTCTGTGTCTGTTTACTAGAAGGCAAGTGTCAACTTCACCATAAAAAAGGACACAGTTACTACTCATTATCACCCAATTTAACATTCTGAAGACAAGAGAATGAGCCTGGAAAACTCAGCCATCTTCTGACCCAACCATGGCGGTCCCAGTACATCAGGGCTTGAGGAACATTAATGAGGACAGTTGCATTGTAGCAAACCAGGCTGTGCCTCTCCTGCCAACCAGAAATCCAAGTCTGAGCCACTCTCAGCTGCGTGTGATTACAGTCCTTCCCAGATCCACATGGAAATCCACAGGATTCAATCCAGTTTTTGGGTGCATCAGGCACTAAAACACAACCATGAAGTTACAAAATGCTGCAGGCTTCTGCAAATCTGTATTTATGGTCTTAAATAGGCACAGGCAACTCACACAGGGACCCAGAATCCAGCACTGAGAGAGTTAATGTGCCGAGAAGCCCAGCACTGAAAGGCTCTGTTCCCTCACCCATGGTGAATATAGTGTTCTGGTTACCAAAATAGCTGTATTTGGAAGGGTTGAAGGCCAGAAGCTCACTGCAGTACCCACTCTTGCCCTATGCACTGCTCATTTTAAGGTCAGACCTTTAGCATCAGGAATCTGTTAGAAGAAAGAGGAATCGCTTTAAAAGTTGTTGCCACTCTGGGGATTACCCTGGAAGGTCTGAGAGGGTAAAGGAAAGGGCAGGGGCAGATAAACACTTGGCCACATGAAAAATCAGCTGCCCCTAAATTTCAATACATCTGCATAAACCTCCCAAAACTGCAGCCAGCTTGTTCTTCCTCACAGTGTTCGCACTCTCATTTTGCAGCCCTTCTCATGCCACAGCAATGCTAACTCTGTCGTTGTCAGTTGAGTTACTGTTTAATCCCTCCTATCTTGATTAATTGCATTAAATTGGTATACCTATGTTAATTAAACAGAAGATGGCAGAGGCAGCTTTTACTTCTTGTTCTTTTGTGTAGATCATTTCCCAGAGCTTCACAGGTTGTGGAAAAATAACAATACAGACACACCACACATCATATTTCAGCACAGCTGATAAAGCTATTTTACCCATACAGTGGTCCATGATTCTTTTTGCATATCACAGTACAGGTTTAATTACCACGCTGCTGCTGCATGGCAGCTCTTCTTGCTTTTTCTTTTTTTTTTTTGTTTGTATTATTTGCAAGTCATAATCATGTTTTCCTGTCATCCCCGAGCAATGTACATGCGTGCGTACAGGCAAATGCCAAGCCTGGAAAGGAAATTTGATGCGTGTCCATGAATTAGAGTTTTCAAACTTTGGCTGAAGATTAGTACATGTAAACATAGCTCTGCCCCCTTCATCTTGGATAATTGGTCACAAATGCTACTTGACACTTCTCAAATCAGACACTTTACATACTTCTGAGCATAGCTGAACTTTTTTGGCAGGAATTAATTTGCTTTGCAACTTAGCTGCTCATTCCTGGCCTGATCCCTGCTGCAGTGATTTCAGGGCAATGTTCTGCCCGTGTGAGGAGCACACAGAGTCAGGACCGGATCTGTTTGCCAGCGCCGACGAGCCCGGCTCTGTTGATTCCCTCACAAAAACAATTACTGCAGCTCATGTTCTGCCCTTTGCCAGCCTTGATTAACACTGGGATTTTTACCTTCAGGCCCCTCTTTCTATTCCAATGACTGAGCAAGTTATAATGCATCAGGGGACGTCTCAAAAGAACGGGGAAGGCGATGTAGCATCCCCAGAAAATGCAACTTTTGACACACCAAAACCCTTCCACAGCTTTATGGGAGATGGTCACAGACACCATCCAGGGAAACTCTCTCACTTTTTTTCCTGCCCTTCCTGCAAACAGTGCATGCTCCAGCAGAGAAGGGAAATCCATTTCTGGAGTAGTGATGGAGTTTGAAGCAGGCACAGAATTTCTTGCTATTAAAGAGCCCCCTGTTTGCTCTGACAGTTCAGTGTGTTTACTCACCCTGCACCAGCACTGAGAGAGCTGAGCAGACCATATGCTCACTTAGAAGGGCTGCCAGGTCTCAGGGAGCATTGCTGTGCCTGTTCCAGGAGGGGTTTGGGACAAGAACACATTCCATAAAGGATTTCACTAGGAATATTGTATTTTATCTGGTGATTTATTTCTGTCCAGTCTCTGGACTAAATGGCAGATTATCAGCATCTCCACGTAGATCTATGAATAACCAGTGGAAAATCTCATTTGCCCTTTATTCACTGGGGTGTTGATAAGCTGCAGCATATTAAAAATATTTGTCAGTTTGTTCTTCTCAGCTATCAAGTAGGGTATGTAACAGCATGGCTGCTTCACCCAGAAAATGGAGAGAAAATGACAAAAAAAGTCAGTTCTAGAAGAGGGTGACCATTTGCATGAGTTATTTTAGGATTATTGCCTTGCTTCTAACTAAAACTTAAATCTGTAAATTATATTGAGCTCCTACCTGCAGAAGCAAAGGGTGTAACTTTGTGCTGTGCTTCAGGTGCAGAGAGGAGCAAATCCCTGGTGGTGCACTCGTGTTTCCTTGGTTCTCAGGGCTTTGTTCAGCTCAAAGCACTGATGAGGAGTAGCCAAGACAGAAAGAGTTCCCACCTCTGGCCTCTTGTGCCATGAGCAAGAGCTGAGCTCAGGGCCAGGGAACCTGCTGCATCTGCCACCTTTGAGTGCTTGGTCCCCCTGCTTTCCAATCATGGTCTTGTGATGGCTCATCCCTAGAAAAGAAGGGTAGCTGCTGTTATCAGAAATATGGCAGATTCACTGTGGAGAAGCAATAATTGCCCCAGAATTCAAAAAAAGACATGGCATGTTAGCATGTCTTGAGTTTGTATAGGTTCATATTTTAAAATAAACAAATTGAGATGTATTTTGCTTTCTTCAGTTTAACTCTGATGTTTGAATCACTGTGGGAGTGGTGGGTATGATATTTCTAGGTGTACAAGACAACAATTGGCCAAGAGATATGGCACAGCTCTAAAGTCTGAGCTAAGGAGGATGCTTGGTTTCCATTACTATTATCTATGACTATAAATTTAGCTTTCAGGTCCTAGACATTTTAAAATAACATGTCTAGTGTTGGAATAGGAGACTATCAGAAAAAGTGAATTACAGGTTACAGGCTTCCAGGATTTGCAGTAAAAGAACTATTACTGTAATTACACCTGTGGAGTCCTCATTTATGTTGTTATTAGGGGAAAGGGATGGGAGAATTAGGATGTATGGAAAGAAAACATTGCAGAAGGGGAGCTAAATAGTTTAGCTGGGACAAAGAACTATGATGGCTCCTGGTCACACTTGTGTTTTCAGCACGTGAAGTCACCATGTGCATGTGGACCTGCAATGTACAGCGATTTAGGTGAAACCACTATAGATCACCAATATCTGGTACAAAAGGAAACAAACCTCAGCCCCTAGATTGGGAGCTGATACCTTTTTGTACCATTGACCATCTCCATGGTCTCTGCTGGGTGCAAATGGGGATTGACCAAGTGACTCCATTGGCTCCATTCTTCAGAGACAAAAGTCCTTCCCCATCCTCAAAGAAGATCAAACCCAGATTCTTGAACATTTGGAAAAACAAAATCTTTCTTTTCAGGGGAGAGGTGAATCTCTATTTTGTCTCGTTATTTTGTCAGGGCTGAGTGGCCATTATTCGTCCATGGGTACTTGCTGGTGTAAATCCACTGTGTCACCTCCTGGATGTCATTACTTAAAGTCAGCAAACTTGTGCTTCAGTGGCTGAAGATTTGTTTGCTTAATGCCTGGTTTCATCAACAAATTCAGGCTGGCAATGACATCCTACTTGTCTAAGTTAATATACAGCTTTGCACTGTCCTTGTTTCCCTTACCATTCAAACTTATGACTCTGTGTTGGTGTCTACCAAAAATCAGGATTACAGCTGAAGAGAATGAAGTGATGAATGAGCATGAGGTTTGCATGTAGATAATTAGAAGTCCGGCTGGGTAGATCACATTATTTAATTCATCATCATTATGTTTGTATTTAAAAAGCATTTAAAATATATTATTTCTTCTATTACTCCATCTCTTCAGTGCTCTGATGCCAGGGATGAATCGTGCTGTGTTTTTTGGTAGAGATTTGTTTTCTAAAACATGATGGAACTATGTGGATCCACTGTAATAAGTGAGTTGTCCCTACTTGAGGAAACTCTTGTGTCAAGAGTAAAATCCTTGTTTGGCTGTGCTGCAAGAAGCAGGATGATATTTAATTATGACAGCTGAAACTCATCTCCAAGTGCCGACAATATTGATTTGTTCTAATACAGAACAGGTGGAATTAAAAAGCTGGTTTATTTAGAAATTTACGTATTCCTAAAAATGTCTGTTCAGCTCATTTTTAAATTTGATTTCTTATCCCAGGTGAATTACACTCTATTTCTGAATCTCAAGAATTGCCTGTGCCTGATAAGAGCTGATCGAAGTACCAGCATAATTCAGTTGTTTTGATTGTGAGATTTTTGTTTGCTGCTTTATGGACAATGATGTTTGCAAAAGAGAGGTGAAGAGCACCAGATGGAATTACAGCCCACAGTTGGTGCATGAGACTTAATATTAGGATAGGTCCACAGTCTATAAGGTCAGTGGCAAATGATACCAAGCTAGCAGGCAAAATCAATGCCTGGTTCTGTAAAAAAAAACAGCAAGGAGAATCTGTGCCAGAGTCCCAGAATGACAAATGAACTTGGGCAAGTTGAAGATAATCATGATTATTTCATATTCCACAGCTCTACAACTTGATACTCTGTGGACAAAAGATCAGAAGTCTGCTGAATCCAAAGTTTTGAATCTTTGGGTCAATATGCTTCTCATGTCTTCAACATTGTTTAATTTAGGAGGAAACAGTTCTGAGCTAAGATAAGATCTCAGACAAAATTGACGTGGACTCACAACATGGCCTAACATAACAATTTAATCTATCCTGTGCTTCCCCTGAAAGAAGGCTTAATAACTGTGGTATGATTTCACCTGCTGCTTCTAACATTTGCTCATTCTTTTTTCCTGAGCAAATTTGGATTATCAGATGGCGAGCAGCTTTGTTCATAGTAGACAAACTTGAATTCATTTAGGATTAATAACAATAGGTTCAATCTTGGATTCAATGGCAGTTCTTAATGAATGGAGTCTTTGGAAGATAAATGTTTGTTTGTGTGAAAAGAGAAATAATTAATTCTCCATTTTTCTGGGTATGAGGTGATTATAGTACAATATCACAAAATGTTTTCCCTGTGTTCCAGCCCCGGGTATAAGAACTGCAAGAATGTTCCCCAAGCCCCAGCATTGCAGATATGAGCCATTTTGACCTTGTCATTTCAAAATCTGAAGTTTTGCAATGAATTGCTTGTGTGAGAAAAAAATGTATCTCTTACTCACAGTGCTTTCAGGTGCTCCTGGTGATCTGATGCAGGGCAGCGAGGAGGGAGGGAGGGAGGAAGGTCCACGTCGCTGCGATCCATCAGCAGCCATGGGTCAGCACAGGGTCACTTGGATGAAGGAATCAAGGCTGGATTTTGGCCCAATCCTCACCATTGCCTTAGACATGGGCATCTTCCAAATTCCTGTGGGAAATCCCACGTTCTTCATCACTGTCCCTGTCTCTTGGGAAGCAGCTGGAGCCCACCGTGCCCGGTCAGGAGAGGCTGTGCTGCCCAGCACCCGGTACCCACTGACCTCAGGAGGAATTCACAGGCTCCAGCAAACGTACCCTGCAGGCAATTTTACCCTGCAAAAACATCACCCACATTGCTAGAGTTTAGGACAACAAATTAGAGCTTTTAATATGCACTGGCCGCTTTTTTTTTTTTTTCACCCCCCCTATCCCCACACCACCACCATCCCCCCTCCCAGCCCAGTAACATCCAGTTGCTTAATTCCATTTGAAATCACCCGGGTTAGGCACCTAAATAATCTTGTCCTTCATGCCTGTCAACATCTTGAGGCACCTAACCACCTTTAGAGATGTGGTGTGAAAGCTTGTGAACGATGCAATCGAGGAGGGAAACAAAAGACAAGTATCCCTATTTGCTGCCCAAGAATCCACAAAGAATGCTGCTTCAGCTCTGCTCTGATTTCTAATTAGATTATGAGTGATGTAGGACTCTGAAGCCAAGCTGGAGTTTGTGCTAGCACTTTGCATGTATGAATGACAAAGGGACACCACTTTCATATTGATTTAAGCAAGCTAGTGGAAGAATGTTTAAACATCAAGTGCTTGATGTCCCAGTTTGCCAGAGCACCTGGAAATATCAAATTAATTCCAGGTGTTCTGCCATTAAGACAGGCTTGCTGCTTTTACAGCCACACATACAAAATGTGGCTCCCAGTTCCACAAATAAAAACGGAATAGTTTCTGCTCCTAATGCCTCGATAACTCCGACATATTGCAAGTTCTGGAAAGAATTTTAATCTACATAGTTTTTTTTTTTTTAATGGGGAGGGGAGCGAGGGGGGAAAGATTTTAAATATGCTGCATACAATTTGTGATGGTCATCTCTAAAATGCAGCTCCATTATCCTTTTCCATTTGGAATGAATGAGGCTAATTAATTTCAGGCCATACTTGATGAGGTCAGCACCATACGAAGGGTGCGTGCTAGACATTGCTAATCTCTTTCAGCTGAGAGTGATGAATTAAAGATGAAGCATTCCTTTGCAGGCCTAATTTAGAATGTATATCAAAAACCTACAGCAAATAATACTATACCCTACAACAAAGGAAAACTTGTTCTCTCAGGCTCCCATGTAGGGTTGATTTTAAACGCATTTTCATTTCGCTTTGGAATTCCAGCTGTGGATGGGTGAAACAGTTCAGAAAATTCAAGCTTTCTCTCTTTCTATTGCTTTTATGGACAAAAGTAGGCAAGGGGGGGCTAAGGGGAGAGAGAAACTGTTCCGTGTTTGATCCTGTATGTCCTGTGATTCTGACTGTACGCTCGGCATTTGGGAAACCAAGCACCTGTGACGTGACACCCCCCAGGGCCACACTCACATCTTGCTGTTGGGGATTTCTAGGTCTGAGGGGAAAGCAGTCAAGGTCCCCTTTGGTTCAGCATCATCCCAAGAATGTTTTGTTGGACATTGCTGGGTCACCCAACAAGGATGGGAGCTTCCAAGCCTTACAGAGCTGTCATTCTCCCCAGGGATAAACACCTCCCTATGCAAAAAGGTCCCATCACATCTAGATAGCAGATAACAAAACTGAATGGAACAAATCACTGCGAAGGCAGCCAGGTCTGGGAGCAGGACAAATTGCTAGACAGCTCCCAAACTTGGCTGGAGTTGAGGCTCAGCCAAGCTTTGCCACCTTTCCCTCAAGGCAAAGCCACCCACAAAGTCCATAGGGGTTTCCCCCAAGCGAGGGACTGCAAGATTTGTCCCTGTGGGCAGCAAGAAGCTGAATTGTCATTTTGGTAAAATAGAGACTTATGAAATCTTAACCCAGCCTCACAAGGAGGCTGCAAACAATAGACCAGCATCCTCCCCAGCACTTCTCTGCTCAGTACCTGGCAGTTCCTTGGAATTCTTGACAGGTTGCTGCAGCGAGTGGAAGTTCCCAACTGGTGGCCATAAGCGGCTGCCGTCTTTGTATCCCAGTAGTCCTCATTAGAACAAAGCTGCTTCGAATTAAATCCAATCTACATGCCGAATCAATCTTTCAACCCTTTGATTGCTTCTGAAAATATTTATACTTCTTAATAATGCACATTTTGTCCCAAAGCCTGTGATTAAACCCAGACAAGGTCCGGAGAAGCCTGAAGTATATGTGGAAGGGGTTATTTTGGACAGGAAAAGAAAGATAAAGACACAGGTTTTTCCTATTGTGAAATCATTAGAGTGTATAAATCTAGCAATTGCAGTTGTATAAGCATCAGAGTGGGGTTGTAATAAATACAGATTGGACTATTATAGTAACCAAATGGAGTTTATGGATTATGTTCACTAGTTCATATTTCTCAGCTACTACACCCTAACTAGCTTCATGCTGCACTCACCTCTGTTAATATTCCCTATTAATATTCTCTTTACGTGTTTGTGGGGGGAAAAAAAAGTTAGGATTCAACTGCTGCTCTGTGTAAAACAAATATGTTTAAAGAATCATGCCCTCCAAAGAAAAAAAATAAACACGGGGATGCTGCAAAGCGACCGTGTTCGAAGGGCACAGGCTGTGGCTGGCTGAAATCACCCCGTTCTGCTGAAAGTTAATAACTTCCATCTGAGTGGGATCTGCTCCTAATGCAGGGCATTTGCTGTGAGAAAATTGGGGTGTAAAAACAAGGAAAATAACTTCTGCTATCCCTTACCCTGGTGGATTTTTAGGGTGGTAAATAATAAGCTTTGGCTGGAGATGAGAAACGCACAAAGGCTTTGAAACCAGGGTGTGTGGTAAACAGCACGTTATTCCCTTCTCAAAAAACAAAGTGAATCGCAGGTGAGACATGAGGAGATGAAGGGAAGGAAACATTCCCTGGCTAAGAAATAACCCAGACAGGGCCAGATCCTCCAGAGTGGGGGTCTGCCGTCGATTAAGGAGGTGCTGGTGGCTGGGGACGCAGATCAGATAAAGGCTCTGTACCTGTCTCCCTCCCTAAACACAAATGACTGCCCTTGTCTCTAAAAAAAGGGAAAAATTGACTTTGGAAAATGCACCATGATAAATCTCCTTGGACATAGTATGCAGTGTCTGTGTGAGAGGGAAAGAAATCCTAAAAACTAAAAGTATGCAGTGCTTATTTAATATCATTGTCATCAGCAGCATCAGATGGTAAATGCAGGTAATATTCTTCAGGAGTGGGCTGATAAATGCTTGTGGTAGTTTTGCTCATGACAGTTTCCCCTTTCATAAAGGAGAGAAAGAAATATTCTCAGCTAAAATATTATTCATTGACTCTTTCATCACATAGTTCATTATATTAAGTTGTTATTTCCTAAATATGTTAGGGGGTGGTAATATCATTATACATATATCCTGAGTCATGATGGCTGTTTTGCATTAATGTATGCTTTGGATGCTCAGTCTTTAAGGTAGAGAGAAGGGGTGTGTTTATCATGACCATAAATAAGGGAGAGCAGAGATTGTAAAAAACCTCTCATAAATAGGGATGGATCCAAAATCTAATGACACGCATGAAAATTCCTTTTGGATCAGACCCCCATCAGAACTCTGTATTATATAACCAGCATTTTCTGAATATCTTCTATTGTTTGACAGCCCTGATTTCACACTGAACTTGGAGTTCATTTCTGAACAGAAGCTTTTTCTATAGAAACTTTTAATCATATCTTTTTTTGTGAACACACACATACCATTGAGGATATTGTCTTATTAAAGAGTTTAAGCCTAAAGGTGTATGCCTACTTTTAAAAGAAATTTTCTGATTGTAGATAACTGCTCAATTTGATTTAGTGTCCAATGATAGTGATGGGGTTGATAACTGAGCATTCATCGGTAATTCATCTTGTGCTAGTAGAAATTTACAGCAAAGCAGTGCTTTCCCAACACTGACAAGTCCTATTAATCTTCTTCAGACACATTTCAATAGGTGTCTCCATCTGTGCCCAACATCTAAACACTCTGGCATCACTGGGGACTTGGAGACACCTTCATTTCAGGTTACACTAGTGAAAATGTGATACTAGATTGTACTCTATTTTTAACCTAATTCTCTCTTTTCATTCAATTAGCCTTTCTTGCCTGCATTTTTCTACTCATGTGTAACATCCTTTTCCCAGGAATAGCTTAAAAATGAGATTTAGTTACTTAAAGAGACAGAATCTGCCAGGGCAAGAGCAGCCAAGAGCTTAGCACAGAAAAGCAGAATAACAAAGCTCAGGGACACAGCGTGGAGACCGAATTGCCACTCACCAAACACGTCCCGAGCAGCATTCCCTCAATATTCCCCTCCTCATGCACCTCTTGCAGGCACCACAGGGTTAGGACAGGTCTGAAACTAGAACTGAAAACAATTGCAGGATGTTTGGGTGTTGAAATCCCAAAGAGCTCTGTTTGTTCGCGCTGCACAGGGATCCCCACCATCCATCCCCACTTCGCTTTACATATACAACTAATGCATGAACAAACACAGAGCAGTCAAATTACAGCAATAACATTTATGGGTGGATTATGTTCCAACTTCCTCACTTATTATTAAAAGCGAGTAAATTGCGAAGCACATGGAAGAGGTAGGGTGCAAATGCAGGCGAATTTCCACTCTGAACCAAATGTTGTTTTTTCACTTTCAAAGCTGCGATGAGTTTGCGAGCAGACGCAGCACAGCTTTAAAGCTTACTCATTCAAAAATGTGTGTTTGGGTTCCTCTTTTTTTTTTTTTTCCCTCTCTCTCCCCTCCTTACTCCATTTACGTTTTGCCTTTCAAAGAGGAGCAGATGCACACCATTTGGGTTTGGGTGGCTCCTACTTGCTCTGAACTTTCTTCTGAAAAGAGCAAACCGTGAGCCATGCGTCTGCTCCGCGCCGCAGAGGCAGCCTCAAACTTTGTTTCTGGCTTTATGAAGTTCTCTCGTGAGTCGTATTATAGATCTAAATGACCTTATTGTAGGTGGCAAGTTTAAATGTGCCATATTAATAACTTGTTATCCAAGACAAATTAAGTCCTTATGTGTCAAAAGCACTCTGTTCTGGATTACCTACAAGACAAGTATTTATTGAATAAACGTTGGATCCAATTTCATTTTAATGTGACTGACTGTATGCTGCAGCCCCTTAGAATGAGATAAAAACACTCAAACCTACAACTGTGTTGCAACATTACACCTAACTTGTCTATTTCTATTATTGTCTTTTTAACATGGGATCTCAAAAGTGTTTGGGGGGGTTTAAGGATTTATTATTATTATTGTTATTATTTTTTTCTGAAGAGCAAGGAGAGAGATAGAAAAAAAAAGACTGGCATTCAGCCTAAAGAGAAATCATTGAAACAAATTAATCCTATGCCGTTTAAATTGACATGGTAATCCATCATCAGCAAAGGGAAACTCTGAAAGCAATCTAGAATCTGCAGTGTTCTTTCACTGGCCCTCAGGCACAAAGACAGATAGTAAAAGAGGAAGGGGGGAAAAAATCATAAAAGTTAGCAGCACCTTAGCATAGGGAAGGGTTAGAGAAAGCAGCTTTCACTTTTTCCTGCTTTCAAGCAGCCAGCTCAGAAAGCAGCGCTGATTAACCTTCAGTCACTGCCTGCTAAGGTTTGCCTGTGTGTCAGATCATCTTCAGCTGCTGGGATGGGAGTTATTTCAAATAGTGCAGAGCCCCCGTCCTGTATAAACTCCACCATTGAAAACTCTGCCAAACATCAACTTGGGCATTTCTGCTTACAGAGGGCCTTTTATTAGCCTAAACTTGATCATTCCAAATGGACAATAAATTCTATCTGCAGAGCCCTGCAGAAAATAGCTGCACTATCCTTGGGAGTTTAATAGCCAGGATTTTCATAGAGCTAGCATGAAAAAAACTGGGGGGGGTTTATTTGGGTTTGGACTCAGGGTACTTTTTGTCTATCCCCTGCTTTCTCAGTGGGGCTATCCACCATAAAATATGTTTCCCAAGAGATTTTTCAAACTAGTTTTAAATATCTAAAGTGATGAGACTTTGTGCACCTTTAAAATTTTATTAGACTTACGGTCAGAAGAAAACATAAACCTCTTGGGCCTTGAAAGCCCATTGCAATACAGCCATTATCCCTATAATGTCAACAGAGCTACAAAATTCTCTAGAAATAAACCTTTTAAGAACAGCTTTCCCTGCTTCATGTTTTCTTTTAAGGTCAGTGGTGCATCACTTTTTTGGAAAGCGTTTCCCCTCTCTGGCCAGGTTTAGCAATGTGAAATAGAATGTATATTACTAAATGAATAGGTTTAATTTTAGACACTGAAAAAATAAATAGAAGAAGAGAGCCAGGGCAGGAATAATACCTTTCAGTTAGAAACAGACATAGTAGAAAGAAAAAGTCAGAACTTTAGTGCCAGGGGCAAAGGGGTGAAAGGCTGGCTAATATGAACCATATCCAACATCTGCCCTATTTTAATTTAGCAGGGATAAAGTTTCTTCTTTTTTATTATTAAGAAAACTTTATGTGGCAGAGAAACCCATGAGCTATGTTATCAAAACTGTTTTATTGTCACACTGAAACTTAGAACTATTAAGAATTGGCGGGGCAAAGAGATAAAAACTCCCCTTCTCTCTCCTTTTATACTCTGTGACAAGCCTGGGCTCGGGTCCTGCTGACTGGGATGTCCTTTTCATGTCTTTATGAAGTACTGCACTTGGGGCTCTAATATAAAGGGGAGGTTAATTGTTCAGGATGGGTCCAGATGATTGATTCTCCAGGTTTAAAAAAATAAATTAATAAATTAAAAAATCTGAATATTTAAAACAAAATCCTGATGCGGTGGTCACCCTCAGAGTGAGCGATGGTGGTGGGGCACAACAAGTGTAAAGAAGGGCTGGGCTGGGGATCTGTATGAGAAACAGCCCAAATTGCCAGGCTGGAACATGATCTCATTCCACCTAAAAGTTTTCCACCTCAATAGTGCAAATTCCACTATAAAATAACAAAGTGTACCAAACCACATGTGAGTAGCTGTAGGAGTAAGAGAGCAAATTGGTTTCTGACAAAAGAAGGATGAATACCTTTGGATAATCTAAAGTTAAAATTTGATTGAAAGCATAACATTCCTCTAAGCATCAATATGCTTAGGATCCAAAATATGGTTATTTTATTACCAGTTAATACTTAGATCAAAGCAAAACACTGTAGCTGGAAGGGACATTCTCTCTGGAAATAAAGTTCCATGTAATTATTTCCTATTAAAAACTAAAACTGGTCTTAGATTCAAAAATTTGGGCTTCCTTACATGTGATATAATGCAAGCTTGTCAAGAGAGAGCAGATGTACCATTTTTCACTGTTTGCTGGTATCTCTTTGCTTTAAAGTTTTCAGTTTAGCTTTAACCCTTTGAATGTGAAAGATTCTCATCCAATTTACCTCGATCAGACCAGGGGGACTGTTTTGGATTATATAAACTCATTTCCTTATGATAAGAAATTAGGATTTGATATGAGCTAACATCATTTTAAATAAAGCCTGCAACTGTAAAGAGGTAAAATCTAAAGAAAATGATATGGCGATGGGTAGGCAGCTGAAAGTTAAATATTAAATTGTAAACAAAGGTTTTACTCTTGGGCAAAACAGCTCATCTTAATTCAGTTCGAGACATGGAGTTTAAAATATGCACTCAAAATACTTCCAAGAAAGCTGCAACCTTTCAGAGGAGAGAGATAAGAATGTATTTTAATTATGAGGTTATAAATATGCGATAGATTTGATTTTTTTTTTTACCAACTCCTAATGTGCTACGTAACATTGTTCAGATGCAGTTATACATTTATCTGTCTGTCTCTGTTCCTGTCCAGGGTTTTGCTTTTATTTTATTCTTTCTCTTTTTTTTTTTTTCTTCCCTCCTGATAGCTCAATCTCTATTTATGGCATCGTTGAGACAGGCCCTGGGAAAAAAAAAAGAATCTATCCTTCTGTATTTATAAACCACCACAGAATAAATAGGGAATGGTTCCTTTTTACAGCTGAAGGGCTGGTATTATAAGTAGCAATATGAAATATTTAGACACAATATTTCAAGCTTCCCGGCTGCTTCTGATTCTGCTAATTATTTTTGATCTGTCAGTCAGAAATAAAAAAATAAATAAATAAAACTTTAAAGAGTTCATTAGGACTGCGGAAAGGAAGAAGAGTCAGATATAAGGCAGCAATTATAATTTGGGTTTAACATGTTTTTTTCATTTTTTGCTGACTCCTCAGCTACATTGTTTGGTAGAAGGATGGCTACAATATACTTCTGCATTAAAGCCTGTTAAATAGGGAAGAAGCTGAGACATTCAGCTGGGATATTGTTTGCTAGCTCAATTAGTATCCCAAGAATTTGAAAGTACAATAAATGTATCTGAAGATCATATCTAAACATACTTACCAAAAAGTACCCACCTCTCTCAGCAGTTCACATATTTCTGCCTTCTAACTGGGAGGGGAGAAAAAAAAAAAAGAAAAAGAAAAAAAAGGCAGTTCGATGTGTAGGTTAAGATTGGCGTGTGGCAAGGTTTGTGTGAGATACAAAGAAATCTGTATTTCACTCAACAATTTCATTGCTTAAACATATAGTTTAGAAGCATCTTTTCCTTAAACATGTGGTTCAATAACGTTTTCTTCAAAGGAACAACTCAGTGTGTTAAAAGATTTAAGAACAAAGAATGTGCTGCAAAATGCAAATTCCTCCAGTGTTACACTGTGTATGCAATTATGTATGTAGGCAGATAGATATAATTTGAGAGTTATTAACTTTCAACATCAATGATGTACCCTGAATCAATACAATGTAACTACCTATTAAAATATAAACCAGGTGTGTTCCCAGGCAAATATAGTCTCAGAAGCTTTTCTAGATTTTTTTTTCCTTTAAAGATTACAGCTCTACTGTGGACAAGAAGCTCAAGAGATTGGTGCTGGTCCTAAAGATGGAGATTGCTTTGCTTTTTGCTGATGGTTCTAGAATCTTTCATTCCCTCCACGTTTAGGAAAAAAAAATTTAAATATTAAATAATATTGAAATGGTGTGAAGGGGATGAATTGTCTCACAAATATCCATATATTTATATATTTATATGCCTCCAGATGCATAGGAAAGAGAAAAGTTCCCTATTTCCATATTTCCTTTGGCTGAAGGGAGGGAATGAAGGGAGCAGAAATCATTTTAAGCTTTGCCCTCCCGGCGGATCGACCCCTCTCGCAAATCCCTTTCTCCCGGCCGCCCTCCCTCGCTCACAGCCCCGCGCAGTTAACCTTGGAGCGGCGCCGGGCAGGGAAGGGTTAATGAAACCCAGCTCTTTACGACCTCCAGGGTCAGACTCTTCCTATCTGCAATCTAAGGAATTAGGTAAGGAGGTTATAAGATTATAGTGAAAGGAGTTATAGGCCCTCGTAGCCTCACACCTGAACATATTGGGCTAATCCACTGGGATTCTTAAAAATCGCTTCAGCTATGGAAAACTGTTAATTAGGCTGGGTCTGTCCCGAGGTTTCCTGTTGCATTAGAGATCCAGCCGAGCTGCCTGCGCTCCTTAGGCTCGACTGAAACGTTCATAGTGTGCCCAACTTTCTGTCCCTTCTCCACAGCTGAAATCACCACCAGCCCCTGATTTCGGGGTTAAAAAATAGCAAAGCTGGGGGGAAATTCAGCCCGAGAGATGAACAAAAGTCACCCCCCTCCGGTCCCTGAGCCCTGCGTGCCCGGCAGGCTATTTGCAGCTGTTTCTAACTTCAGTGTTTGTTTACAGTAGCAAAATTAGCACTTGGAGGAGAAGTGAAAAGCTGTTTTCACATCAGTTTTACTCCTCGGTTCCTAGTTTGAGATGCCTTTCCTCCCTCCCAGCAATCAGCATCATTTAAAGTGCGGCACAAACTTTCTCTCGCTGCTTTGGCTTAGTTCTCCGCAGTCGCATCCTATTTTCTGCTGAAGAAAAATACGCGGGGAGAAGGCAGCATGTGAACACGGGCCAAACATCACGGATTCGAGACAAAAAAATAATAATCATAATCCCGAGCATCCCCCCAGAACGTATTTCAATGTGGCATGGCTGAGCCCTGCCCTAGTCCCAGCTTTCTGCCCTTTGGCACTCAGATATTTGCTTGTCTCCAGCAAAGTTTTCTTTAATCCGCCGAGACACCCCAGGGCTGTACCTGAACCACGGCTAAATTGCTCCCTACAGCCGATAAAATCCTGTAGCAGCAGCTCCCCAACTTCAATACTTAAAGCAAGGGTTTGTTTTAGCCATTTTGTCATTTGCAGAAATGCTGAATTTTTTTATTTTTTTAAATTTTTTTCCCTATGCCACTTGTGGTCACCCTCGAATGGCAGTAATCTGTAGATTACATATTACGAGCCTTGTCATTACGTGGATAAAATGAGGTGGTTAAACGCTAAAATCCATTTTACTCACCACATTTGCTTGTGGGGAGGGAGGGGGGCGGGAAGGAGAGGGGAGGACAAACTTGTAGGAGAAGGATTGAAACCCCTCGGATGGGAGCTGGATGTGCTGTCAGAGCCCTCTCTGCCTGCTGGGTACACGGGCTGGGCACCCCTCAACTTCACCTCCAAGGCAGGCAGGCGCCCGATCACTCCAGCCCTTCTCCCTCGCTCCTGAGCCTTTTGTCCCCATTTTCGTGGTATCTCAGCTTTGCTCCACAGAGGCGACTTTTCTCTGCCTCTCTTGGATTTGCTCTGTAGCATTTCTAGGCTCCTACTCTCCAGCTCTCCCCCCGTTTGCCTCTTTCATCTGTGTCCCTGATCCCTCTCCAGCTGATGTGATTCTTTAGAAATGTGGGTCTTATCCCGTCCCTACCTTTGCCGGCTCTGATTAGATATTATTTTTTCATTGGCTCTGCTACAATGGGTTCCTCCCTTTAATCTCTCGGTATATTTTCCCCCTCCCGGTATAACCAAATCCATGAAATTCACAGCCTCTCTCTTTGACACGACTGGTTCGTCTAATCACTCCATATCGATTTCCCTAACTCTTTTCATCCAGCTGAAGACACATTTTAAAACACTCCAAGCCAGAGTGTGCTCTTTGCTTTATACACACTAATAAAATGATTTACCCTTCTCTCTCTGCTCTCCTCACAGGAGAAAATCGTTCAAGTCGCGGCTATTTGTGTGTGATCAGTAAATATTTAGTGTGGCGACATCCTCAGCTCCTCTCCTGATCAATACGCAACCCAACAGGAGGTGGACTATTGTCCGGGTAGTGACTTGCTGAGATCTCCTTTAGATGAATCCTTTGCCCCCCATACTGTCTGTTATGATTTATCCTCGAAGGTGACCAATAAAGCAAAACCGAGTCTTTAAACCCGTCTGTTTCTAACCTGTTTACCGTGCCATTAAAGCACCTAAGCGAGGAACGGCTTCTCCATCCCCTTCTCCCACATCCCTGGCATGGGCTGACACACGCAGGGCGCTGCTGGAAAATGGGGATCAGAGCGGGCAGCTCTGCACCCCTGAACCTCTATTCCCCTTGTTCCCCTGCAGGAAAGCCCGGCCGCTCTCTGCGCTGCGGTGTCACGGCTCTGAGAGGGCGATTCCCC